TCCCTACAAAACATTGTCAGCCATTTTGTAAGTTAAGTATTAAAAGCTTTGTGTTGTTCAACTCTATTCCTTGTCTCATGTCTGCATCTGGGTCCCAAGACTGAATTTATTCTACTCATTATGAATAAATACAGCCAGAAATCATGTGTCTTCCATCTTTTCCTTACATTAATTTGTCAATATCTCTGTGGTTCCATCCCTCTGGTGACCGCATACATGAGCCTTGGACCCAGCATGCACAGTGCAGTTTTATGGAATGACTGAACATAATTACCCTCATTTGTAGAAAAAGTCACTTAAGCAGCAGCTATGCAAATCAGTTTCTTCCCTTCTTTCCAGCCTCTGGCTGCTGATGCCTTCGTGAGGCTGTGGGAGGATCAGAGGAACAGATGTCAGTTATTCTTGAGGTCTCTGTGACACAGTGGCTCTCAAAGATGGAATTAAAAGTGCCTGTTGCATCCACGTACTAACCACATTCGTCCCCTTAAATGTCATTCTGTCCCTCTGGATGCTCTCAGGTGAAAACAACTCTTTATTGGATATTTAAATGTATTAGATTTAGCAGATGGGGACATTTTGCACATGCACCTGTTTGTTTAGCGTGTACCTGCATATGCACAAGAGGAACTACAATATGGCTGGGGATGTGAGGTGAGCAGGTGCAGTTGATTCAGGCAGGGATTCCCAATCATCACAGTTGTCAATCACCTGAACGAGGCTGTAACTGGAGGGCTTCCCCCGTATCGAGCTGGTGTACACAAGGATACAGTTGTAGTGTTAAAAAAAAAAAAAAGAGAGACTTAAGTGTCACAAATGTATTATTCTCTGATTTCTGTAATATTTCTCATCTCCTCTAAATAAAGGAAAATATTGACCGTTCTTAGTTTTTTATCCCTTGTTAGCTCTATTTTCAGCATCTTATCCCTCCCTTGCATAAAATGTGAAATGAATCAAAGTCCGTCTTCTTACATACAGTAATCACATATCTCACTTGTGAAACTTTTAAACCATAAACAAACAGGCATACACTGTTCCTGTTTGAGCTGTTGTCTATAAACAACCAGGTACTGCATCAATGGACTGATACCCTGTTAGCATTAATTAGCATTTAGGACAATGCAAAGATATTCCCTGTCTTCATGTGTGCCAGGTTAGCATTAATTAGCATTCAGGACAACGCAAAGATATTCCCTGTCTTCATGTGTGATAGGTATCAATAAAAAAAAATAACCTTTTTTGCTAATGCTCTTAAGAATTTGGGGTTTCTGTCTGTCAGAATCAACAGAAGGCGGCGTACGTCACTGTCTCTTGACACAGGACATGACTGGGTGGAATCTGTCATTCACACCGCTCCAGTCAAGGCAGTCTGCAGCTCATTACCATAACTCAAAGTACAGCTTTGCTCTTGAACACAGAAATGTATTGTACCTTTGTGTCCACACACACACACACACACCCCTACCCATTAATAACACCAAAACCACAGCCAATCTGCCTTTTCCCAAGTCTGAAGAGAATGAGAATTTTTTTTCTAAAAATGTTTAAAATCCATCTCAAATGATGAAAAATCATCTTGACAGTGACACACAGCTGAAGTACACGGGTTTGTTTAATAGAAGAAACTGGAAAGGCACCGTGTTATTTTCCATTATGCACTCAGGATGTGACTCAGTCATTATTCTCATGTCTTTTTTCCTCACACAAACCACAAATATAGGCCAACCACACAAACACATTCAGATGAAGTGAGGAGGAAAAAGAGAACATTTTGATCAGACAGTGAATAGATGTGAAGGTATCCAGAGATAAAATTTGTGAGACCAACATAGATTGTGGATTATCCTTTCATCAGAGACTGCTCATCCTGCTTGAATTGCACTCCTTGTGTGTTCAAGAGCCTGTGTCACTTTTTTTTTTTTTAAGACAGTGTCATTTATTTCTACAGCCTTTATGAAATTCCAGTAATATCCTTTTTATTCTAAAAACACTCCTAGGAACATCAAGTGGAAGTGGTGAGTAACCCAATAACTTTTTTAAATCAGTTTGTACATTAGATCCATATTTTGTCTAAACTGCCTGCTATGAAGTCCAACAGGAATGCATTGGCAAGTCTAAATTGGGTTTGTACGTGTTTTGCTTTTTAACAGCCATGCATTTTAATTACTTGATACAGGTTGGTGAATGAGGTGTGCAGACAATGACTTGTCAGGAGGTGACTGTTGCCCTTGTGCCAATAAGTTCTGTCTTACGTGCTTATGTTAATCACTTTAATAAGTAGTGATAAATGCGTTTGTTGGTGTCATCACCGGCTGATAATTTTATGTTTGCTGTAATACCTGATATTTTTAACTATGCTAGTGGCCTGACTCCATGAATGGCAATGCTGCTCTTATGGTCAGACTGAATTGCTGTATATTAATAACCGTCACAAGGATTGGCATGACATTTTGTACTGATATCCATGGCTCCTAGAGGAGACATATTAATGACCCCGGTGGTTCCTGTCACAATTGTAAGGGGAGAAAACCCAGAAGCAGACATAGATGAAGTAGTAATAGGATTAAGAACCAATTATCAGAGTTGGCAGGAACACAGTGGCCATTTCAGGGTAAACAAACCACTAAAGCACTCTACCAACAGAAATACAAGACTAACTAGAGAACTAAAACAACAAAAACCTAACAAACAGAAGCAAAAACAGAAGACAAAATAACCAACTGAAAGCACTTGCAGTTGGAAAATAAACAAAGGAAACACAGAAAACAGAAGCAGGGCACATAAGCAGAATAAACAGGACTAAACATATTGTAAACCCAAGGCCAGACGCAGCCAGAATACATACCAGTGTTAGCAGCACAAAACAAAGCCTAGGAGGGCTTTGCCAACAAACTGAGTAACTGGCTTAAATACAAAGTCTGTTGATTACAGATTGAGAACAGGTGTCTGTAATTGGTGAGCTAAAGCTGGCAAAGGTGGGAATCATGTGAGGCAGTGGAAATGTATCAAAATAAAAGCATCAAACAGGAAGTCCATGAAAGTCATGACAATCTCCCTGAGTTTTCTTCTAGCGCCCCCATTGGGGTTTCCCTGGTTAACTCTGGTGTCCTGATTTTTCATCTGCTACAGGTCATTATTTTAATTTGTTCGGTAGCTTGGTTTATAACTGAATGCTTGTATAACTAACTGTATTTCCATTTCCTGTAAAATGGGTGTCAAACAGTAAGAAATTAAAGAATGGAAGCTAAAGTAGGTGTGCAGAGATTTGACAGTGTGGAAGCTACCTAAGACTTAGAATAAACAGCTTGTCAAAATGACTGACAAGTGTTAGGCTGAGGGAGTTGAACCCGAAGAACACTTAAAAGACTTACTGTAAAGTGAATAATTGAAAATGCCACTTTTCTGATAAGTTATATTCCAAAGTATTTTCACAAAAAAAACAAACAGCCTTTCTTGCGACCTGTCAAGACGTGAAGCTCACCAGGCACAGCCATTTATTGAATAATATTTCCCCTGGTGCCCTGTACATCAGTCATGAGACATTTTTTAAAAACAGCAAAGCACTACTTTAGCCCAGCAATGAAAAGAAATTATAAAACACTCTGAGACCTGAGATACGTCGTGCTCATATCGTGTAACTTTAATGCTACTCTTCAACCTTATCAGCATTGCAAATAAAGCTCTCAAAGTGTGTTACTGTAGAAAGAAAAGGTCATTTTTTTCCTTCACAGCTGAGAAGTAAATGAAAAATCTTTATTTTATGTTAGGCTGTTAATGCTTTTCATGACATTTCACCACTTTCCATATTATTCTGCAGCTAAATTCACATTAGCATTCCTGATGCGTTTGCCTATGTGTGTACTCGTCACAGCTGCACCGTTGACTGAAATGGCTCTGTGAGCTGATTAGCATAAACAGATTAAGCTCTCCTTTTAGGTAACATCTGCCTCAGTTATTTACTGTGATCTAACAAAAAAATCTCAGGTGGAGACATGCAAACAGGTGTTGGAGGTGCATTCAGCACATGCAGAGGGAGAAATGAGTTATGGAGACAAACTAGGCAAAATGTAGATGAATAGCAGGACTTGGAGGGAAGGGTGGTGGTTTTAAAGGGAAGATTTGCAAAGAATTGAAAAGATGTACTCTAGGAAGATGAAGGAAAGGAGGCAAGAGAACAGGACAGAAAGTAATGAAAGCAGGAGAAAGGTAGCCAGAGAATAAACTGAGACAGAATGAGATTTTATATAAATGAGACAGTAGACCAGAGAGATGTCTCTCTGGGGGTCAGGGAAAGGGCACAGTCAAAGCAGTCATCTATTTAAATGAGTCTCAGGGGCTGATAATAATGCTGGGCAGGCAAAACAGCTGCAGTAAAAGCTTTCAGGTTAATCGACTCGCTTGAACACAACAGCATGAGAACATTATCTGCTGCCGTGGAGTTTGATGTGCTGATGGTAAATGAATGTGGCGTTCTGTAGCTGCTACCTGCCCTGATGAAGACCAGGAGGTCGAAATGTTGTCAATAAATCATGTAAGCTCATATAGTGCAGCCATTCTTTTTATTTTAGCTGCTATCTGGCAACATGACAAAGTTGCTTCAACAATATGGCCCCCTCCAGCTATAAAACAGAAAGGACAAATTAAAAGGCATAAATCACCCTTATGAAAATAGATAAATCTGTTCTCCTTGGCTCCTTGTGTGTGTGCTCGTGTATGTGTTTGTGTACTTGCGAGTGCACACTTACCTTTGAGACTGAGTGCTGCAAATGAGATGGGATGTTTCTCCACTGTGTCCCTCCAGAGACTGGTGAGCATGCTGCTTCAGCATCACTCCAATCAATTTGTCACTATGCCAAATTCATCTCCCTAAGGGAGGAATCAATTTTTTAAATAGTGTGGCTGCAGAGAGACGTGTGGCTTTAAAACATATGATATATTCTCCTTTTGGTTGGATAGCACAATGATATAATCAAAAGGTTAAAGAGGTGAAAAAATAACTACAATTTAAATGAGGGGAAGTCTGAGATAATAATTAGTGTCATTTATGTTGCCTCCAGAGTCAAAATGGTGAAAGAGAAATGCAAACTACAAGACAAAAAGAAATGGACACAAAAGATGCACGATCGCAGAGACTGAAAACAGCTGGAAACTGATGCAAAATGACCACAAAGACACAAAACAACTGCAGAGTGATGTGATACATCTTTCACTGTTTGTAGTTTGCTTGTTCTTAGATTGGGGGTCTTTTACATGTTTGTGTCCAGGGAATTGTCACATAATCTGTTCACAGACTCTTTGGAATTACAAATATTATTAGAAGATTTCTTATTTCATTTTAGACTGTCGCCCATTTGGCCTTAGTTTATTACACTGAGTAAGGAATAAACAACTGTTAAGTAACTACTACTAATGTACAGCTTGTTTTTCCCAAAAACCAGGGCTATTAATGTGAATCTTAATGCATTTTTACCCACTTTACTGCAGCTCCAGGCTCCAGCTGAATAACAGATAACTCAACCAGAAGAAATACAAGAGTGAACAAACAATATAAAGATTTGGTTGAAGTTGAGAGGAAGCAGGAGCTTTGGTTGTATTTTTGTCTCGTGTTCTAAGAGAATCCCTCATGCTGCAGTCAAATTTGATCTCTCTTTGGGATGTGATGATATAAACTGTGTGTGAAAAGGTATCTGATTTGGACAGAGCCAAGATGGTTTATACTGGCTGACTCATCACTTTGT